AACCAGGCAACAGTGAAAAAGGGAGGAGAATAAGGATAGCCCGGGAAAAAGAAACCNGAAGTAAATCACATCTTCCAAGTTAATTGGAAGATGTGAACCATGACCCCAAAACAAGGGAGTGGAAAAATGATTAGAATGTATGTGTAACAGAAGAAGCCAGATCTAAGCATTTCCACCATGCCGTACTGATGTCTCTGTAACCTTAATAAATGCTTTTAGGAAAAAATATGCCTGAAAGTCCTTTTAAGTGTTTCATTAATCAGACACATGACAGTCTGGTAAACGTCAACCGATCCGCTTCAAACACCTGTCTAAGTGGAAGCACCTGAGATTAGGCATAGTATCAGAATCCAATTATATTTCATCTCTAGTTATCAACTATGGAAAACCCCATTTCTGCCGTCTCCGGATTCTGTCATACGATGAAGGGAAGGGGGTGAACAAAGGGGCTTTATGGCCCTCACTTCCTTCAGTATACTTCAAAGGGACTGGATGTGGATACCACCAAAAGGACTAACAATAACAATTGAATCTGGGCATTCTGTCGAGGAGACTGGAACAATCAATCTCATTTGGACAGTTAGATGGGTCCATAGCAGGGGGGGTGCCAGCTACCCTAGCCACTTTACCAATACACCTCTCCCTGGGCAAACATGAGGAGGACATAACGTTTGTGGTGACCCCAGGCATGGAATGCCCAATGATCCTAGGGATGGAATGGTTACAAAAATGGAACCCCTGGGTGGATTGGAGGACGGCAGAAATCAAATTCCTGAAGGGGGACCCTATGGACTTAAAATCCCAAGGGGGGCTACCAGAATCAAGAACAGAAAAAGCATCCATGGGAAAGGAAAAGGGGCTACCAGAAATACCAAAGGAATACAGAGACCTTGCTGAAGTTTTCAGTGAGGAGAGGGTGGATGAGCTCCCCCCACCCACCTACCCACAGACTGTGCCATTGAATTCAAGCCTGTGGCAAAACTCCCGAAGCCCAGATTATACTCCATGAGCCCAAAGGAGAAGGAGGAAATGGAAAGATTCATAAAGAAAAACCTAGAAAGGGGTTCATTGAGCCAGCCAAGCCTAAAGTGGCTGCCCCGGTCCTCTTTAGAGAGAAGAAGGACGGCTCTTTACGCTTATGCGTGGATTATAGGGCCCTGAATACAATCAGTGAAAGCAACCTATACCCTCTGCCCCTCATGAAAGACATGTTGTCACACCTCTCGAAAGGGAATTTTTTTTCTAAACTAGACCTAAGGGAAGCTTACTATCGCGTGAGAATTAAGGAAGGGGATGAATGGAAGACTGCATTTAACTGCCCCATGGGGTGCTACCAATTCAGTCTTGCCATTTGGATTACAAGGAGCCCCCGCAGTATTTATGCAATTAATCAATGACGTTCTAAGGGAGCACCTATTTAAGGGGGTCCTTGTTTACTTAGATGACATTCTTATCTTCACCGAATCAAAAGAGGAACATGTCAACCTAGTCAGAGCGGTTTTAAAGAAACTGCGAGCCAATGGTCAAAGTTTTAGCCCTATGCCAGAATTAACCCCAAACGAACCAACGATCCTATCACTGAAAGAATGGATGGAAAAACTACAAAACACCTGGCCAATAGTTAGAAAAGCACTAGACGAAGCTAGGCAGGCATACAAAGCACAAGCCGATAAAAAAAGGGTTGAGCCTACACCATTCATTATGGGAGAAATGGTGTACTTATCTACAAAATACCTAAAGTCCCTACAGCCCTGTAAAAAACTTGGACCAAAATATATAGGGCCTTTTCCAATTAAAAGAATCATAAACCCAGTAACAGAATTAGAATTACCCCAAAATCTCAGGCAAATACACCCAATTTTTCATTGCAGCTTGCTGAAAAGAGAGCATCAATCATCGTTATGGCCAAAAATTCCCCCCCACCACCACCTTCCATGGTGGAAGGTGAACAACACTTCGAAATAAAGGAAATCCTAGATTCTAGGAGATATCATGGATCAACTCAGTACCTAGTTGCCTGGAAACACCTCCCTGCCTCACAAAATAAGTGGGTCCATAAACGTCATATCAGAGCCCAGAAGCTATTAAAGAAGTTTCACACAAAGTATCCTAAGAAACCTGACTAACTTTTATACCTGTTTTGTTTTCTTTCAGGTGGATCTATGTTATTTTTAAGGGGGCAGGATGTCAGAATCCAATTATATTTCATCTCTAGTTATCAACTATGGAAAACCCCATTTCTGCTGTCTCTGGATTCTGTCATATGATGAAGGGAAGGGGGTGAACAAAGGAGCTTTATGGCCCTCACTTCCTTCAGTATACTTCAAAGGGACTGGATGTGGATACCACCAAAAGGACTAACAATAACAATTGGGGCCATTAACTTTCATGTAATCCTTTCTGAAGTCTCTCCTCTCGGCAGTGAGGAAAAGGGGGTGGGAATGTAACGCCTGGAACTGTTGCTGGAAGAAGGGGGTGATGGGGTGGGGCTACTGGCGGATCCCTTAAAACCTTGAATGGGAGAGCTTGGACCCCAAGTCCTGTCTAGAATGCCTGCAACCAGTTTTCTCTTAATAAAGATGCCTGTTGGAAGAAATATTCCAAGAGTTCTGTCTTCTTAAGATGCAAAGTGGGGTGGGTCCTTACACATAGTTTTGATTGTCTTGATCACTTGCCTTAGCATCCCAAGAATGAATCTTATAGGAGTCTGCAAGGACTTACAGATTATTGAAGACATTTGACATGACCCAGTGATTGACAAATGTCTGAAGGCCAAAGATTGCCTTCCCCATGCATCTCACATGGGCAAAGCGCGCATAGGCGAAACGTGGGAACATATGATTGGTGCACCCCGCAAGATCATGGACTCTATGTCATTAAAGACACCCACACCCACACATGAAGTCCTCACTACCCTGATGACAAAACAGTAGCAGCCATCTTCAGTACTTCATCGATAGTTCCAGACCCTTCGGTTCTTGAGTATCCTGAGTCTTCTGCAGCTGCTGTTGTTCCTGATTCTTCAGTTCCAGCTGTTGTTCCTGATTCTTCAGTTCCAGCTGATGTTCCTGATTCTTCAGTTCCAGCTGTTCCTGTGTTTCCAGATCCAGCTGTTCCTGTTTTTCCAGGTTCTTCAGTTCCTGAGTATCCTGAGAATCCAGTTCCTGAGAAATTTTGGGTTCCAGTTTTTCTATTCCAGATTTGGTTCCAGTTTCCTTTACAGGAAAAAGACCTTGTCTCGCTAAGAGGCAAGAACTCATACCAGAACTATTGGCCCATGAGACTTGCGCACCGGGCCCACCCAGTTGATGAACTACTTTGCCAAGCTGAGACCCAGATCGTGAAGCCATGTGAGTCAGGTCGTGACTCAAAAACTCTTGTACCAGGCTGATCACCGATTTGGTACCTTTGCTGATGAAGACTGAACCATGTTTGATACCAAGTTTTTACCTATTTAGTCACAAGTTAGTTAACAATGAGTATTGCATGCCTTAATGCTGTGTTTTTGCTATTTCAGTTAGTTAGTAGTGGAAATATAAATTTCCGAGCAGGGAGTATTCTGGATCATATAGATCTATGCAACTCTAACTAGAGAGCATGTATCAGTATGTTAGAATACCTGGCAGTTATTGGGTTAAAATGCTGGGTTTGTTAATAGGTCAGTGGGAGGAGTTTCTAAAGGGCATGGGGAGACTTCCTGGACATAAGCCACATGGGAATGCCTTTGTTCATCCAGCTCATGGCTTCCAGTCACATGGCTGGAGATCTCATGATTATGCCAATATGTGACGTTTAGGCAGAAGAAGAGGGGAAAAGTCCATCATCAATTTACCTGTGGAACAATCCAATATCGCTAAACGTATTTTGGATGTATCTCTACAATACTGTAAGTCTTTGTTTAGGATTCCCAGAATAAAGCAATATTTTCTGTTTGTTCCTCTGAGTTAACTATCTGTTCTGGACTGAACATGGAAGCAGTCTGATCTGTCTAGAGAACAGAATATTGCCTATTGCCACACAAGTGCATGCGTCTACAATAGAGATATTAATGTAAATAGAAATTTGACCATTATTGCATTAATACTTTCTGTTTTAATTTTATTTTAATGTTTTGTAATGTATGAAAGGTTTACAATTAAGGTATGGTAGAAACCTCAGACCAAGAGGCTGAATGCTTTATTTTGATATATACACAAGCTTGTTTTATTACACAAGGGATATAGTTCTAATGCAAATTTTAAGAAGAGGCTGGACACTCACTTGTCTGAGATAATATAGGTCCTCCTGCTTGAGCAGGGGCTGGACTAGAAGATCCCTTCCAGCTCTATTCTATTCTATTCTAAACCAAAAGACCCAGCATCTACAGAAGAAAAATCAAGAGCCATTATTTAGGACAAACAGATGACTAGCAGAGCGCATCTATGAATACCAATTAGCAGTCAGAATACATGAAAACTCCTTTATTTCACAATGGACAGACCATAGTTTCAATTGGGAAACTGTGAGCATCCTAAACAAGCCAAGTCCAAAAATGCTAGAGAATTCCTGGAAACCAGACACTCAGACAAAGCAGCCATCAGTGGGTACACTATTCAACATCTATATATTATTCAAAAGAGACAATCCAAACATCTCACCAGTAGCAACACCCAGATGAGCAGAGGTTAACACTAGACTAACAATCAAGAAATAAAAATTACCCAATCAAGGAACTACCCACTCAGGTAAACACAAGCTAACAGCCTAATCAATGAATCACCAAGACCACTCCCACCAATACTGACAGGATAATCCACTAGTATATATAATGAGAGCAAACCTCATTCCCTCTAACATCAATGTTGTTACCTAGAAAACAACCAAGCTCAAGAGCACCAAGAATCCCACAGTTCAGCCCTGATCTGCAAATATTCTCTTCCATAAAGATTTCTCTGCCTGCCTGCCTACAATTTTTGCTTTTACTAAAAAAATATTCTTTATCACTTTTTTCTTTTTCACAGGGGTATCTCTGAGTGCACTTCCAATGTATTTGAGTGAAATTTCTCCCAAGCAGATCCGCGGGTCACTAGGACAAATTACAGCAATATTCATCTGTGTTGGTGTTTTCAGTGGACAGATTTTGGGGCTACCTGAGATATTTGGAAAGGTCTGTAATAATTCTGAATTATTTATTCTTTTTTGCACTCTGTGTAAATTGAGATTGAAAGCCCATTAATTATGAACAGATAAAATGATGCCCAGATATTCTTTGCTATAATATCAAAAGAGAGATACCATCCAGTAGGTATGGTATTTGTGGCACTTATGCAATCTTGTGTAAATAACTAGAAGCTGAACAACTTCTGTTCACTTTTACTGGAGATTTGATAAGACATGAGGTTTTTTTTTAAAAAACAAACAAACTCCTTTTTACTGTCAATTTATAAGAGAGAATGTAAGGATACAAACTACAGTCATCTGCATTTCTAACTTTACACTTATTGATGGTATTGACATTCACAATTAAATGTACTTATTGTCATGTTACATAATTGTCATTCTTCTGCTTATAGATTAGAGCATCTGTTCCATCACTGAACTCTGAATTTTGCCTATGTTTTTAGTATTGCATTTTTACATGAAATGCAGCAATACCAATACTAATTTTATTAACCGATTACAGGAATTCCTGTGGCCTTATCTGTTTGCAATGATTATTGTTCCATCAACTCTCCAAATTGGAGTCCTGCCTTTTCTTCCAGAAAGTCCTCGCTTCCTATTACTTGAAAAAAATGACACAAAAGCAGCAGAAAAAGGTACTGTCACATTCATTTTTATCTCAATTGATCCTATTGTTCACCTGGTTTAAAAGCAAAAATTGTAAGCACAAATGCAATATTTTTGAGGGTGGCAGTCTTCAGGAACACTACATGCTGATATCTGTTCTGTAGGGTGGTTCTCAAATTTTTGGGTTGATAACAATATCAACAACAAAACAGCAGTACCATGCTTAAAAATTACCCTTGGTCTGCTTAAAGGAAAAGGAGAGGATCATTGCATTATGGAGTTTTTACATATTCTCTCTTGCTGGAAACAGTCCCTTATGTTGTAAAGTCTATATCATGGTTCCAATAGATGAGACCAATTAGAACAGAACTCCGAGGCTTGAGTTTTCCTTATTTATTTATTGGATACAAAGTATCAGCATGATCAAAAGTGAAACCAAGACTAAAATCCCCCCCAAAAGCAACAGTAATACAAAGTTACAGTTCCCACCCCCTGGCTATGCAAACAACTACGTTTCCCAATAATACATCCAGGTGGGCTTTCTAACACTAGGATCATCCTCCCCAGCTGAGGGAAACAGAAATGATCTTGGTTCCCATGGGACAGAAAACTGTTTAGTCTAATAGAAAACTTCCCATTCCCTCCCCATCTTGTGGCAACAAAAAATGAAGAAAATAGCTTCGGCCAGGTCTGTTGCAAGGTTGACAGTTGGATCCCCTAAAGAGAAAACAGATCCTGTAGAGAAATAAAAGGTGGCATTAGGAATCTTCCCAAGGCTTCTGAGGATATTTATTGTAAAAAGCTTTTACTAGTTGATCTGCCTTAACATTCGTGCTTTTTATCCAACTGGCCTCTGACAAAGGATATTCCTTCCATTGCATTAGATACTGTAATTTCCCCTTGTATATTCTAGAATCAAGGATTTGCTTAATTCCATAATGAGTTTCCCCCTCTACTAAAAGAGGACCAGGGGCTTCCCTGGGAGTTGGTCTCAATGAGGACTCCCTAAGAGGCTTTAACAAACTGCAATGGAAAACAGGGTGAATTTTCCCTAGCAAGCAAGGGAGTTTCAGCTCAAAAGTCACAGGATTTATAACTCTAATTATAGGAAAAGGGCCAAGAAACTTTGGTCCCAACTTCTTACTGGGTAGCTTGAGTCTTAAATATTTAGTTGACAAATATACTTTTTCCCCAATGCGAAATGGTCTCTGAGGGGACTGCATCTTATCATCTTGCTCCTTGTAAGTTTTAGCAACCTGTGTTAGAGCTTTTTTCACATTAGTCCAAACAGTTTGCCATGAAGCAACCCATTGATCCAAGGCTTGTGAGACAGGTGGTTCCTGAGGATATTCACGGCCAGTTGCTATTTTAAATGGAGTAAGACCAGTACTATTGTGCACCGTATTGTTGTATGACACTTCCACGAAAGGCAGGAGGTCAGCCCCATTAGTCTCTTGATAATTAATGTAGCATCTGATGTATTGTTCCACCATTGTGTTCAAATGTCCAGCCGATCCATTTGTGCTCAAATGAAAAGCCGACGAAAGTCCTTGAGTGGACCCAATCAGTCTAAACTTAGGGCTAGAATCCCTGAAATCTTTAGCCACGTAATGAAATAATATTATATGGTATGGTTGTTCTGTTGTTTGTTTGATTGATTTCTGTCCAGAAGAAAAACAAAGCTTAAAACAAGTAAAAAAATAATAATAATTTATCTATAACCTAGCTCAGACAGAAAAGATTGGGGAAAAGGAAGATTGGTTCATTTGCTGTAATGAGAATATATTGTCACTGTCTTCCATATTTTGGAATAAATATAGTTATTCTTACTAGATGTGTGACCAGTAGAATGCTACATAAAACTAGTCAGAAGTAAATGTTTTTAACTTCATTCCAGTAGAAGTAAATATAAGATTGCAGTTTAGATTTCATTGTGCTTCTAAATTTCTATTTACTAGGGACCATCTTAGCTATTATATTGCCTGATTCTGCCAACAAATGAAGATGTAAAATCATGTTATATTGTTGCATAATAATGAAAAAGATGTGAATGAGTTGTGTACAGTTAGAAATATCTTATATCTTCAAACTGGAATGAAAGAGTTAGAAATAGGATAGTTACAATATGCTGTTATTTTAAATGTATGAATAAGAGCAGCAGATTTAGAATTTACAAAATTGTTGGACCTGAAATGAAACTTGTAAATATTTGTGGAATTATTATTGAATAGTAAGAGAAATCATTATCTGCTATTTATTTGAGTAAACCCAAACATTACTGATGAAGCTGACATATTTTGCTGAAGGATCTGTTTTTGAAAGATAAAAAGATAAATGTTTGGTGTAAACTACAATTTGATGTGTAAAATATGTAATTGATGTACAATTTGATGTAAAATAGTTTGATATGAATAAAACTAATTGTGTATAAATTGTATGAACTGTGGGCTTGCAGCATTTCAGAAATTCCTTGGAAAACCTGATGTGTCACATGAAATAGAAGAAGTTCTGGAAGAGAGTCGAGTGCAGAAAAATATTCAAGTAGCATCTGTATTTCAACTTTTGTGTGACAACACTAAGCGGTGGCAGATTCTCACTGTAATTGTAACTATGGCTTGCTATCAACTTTGTGGCCTTAATGCTGTAAGTCATTATATGCATATATATATATTTAATTATTGCTTTCACAGCCCACTTTTTAGATAAGATAACCTTTATTGTCATTTTTTTTACTGTAGGCACATTGACACACATTAAAAATGAAATTTAGTTGCTTGCTCTCAAAAGTGTACACATACTGTACATAATACACATTTAAACATGCTATATACAATATATACATAAACCTTCACCCTTACATATAAATATTAATCACTGACCATCTTGAATATGTTACCAAAAGAGGAAGGATTAGGGTTAGGGTTTGTTTTCTTTAGAATTTCAAGTAATTTAAAATAGCGCCCCCTCAACATCAAAGCCTGGGAGATTAGTTGGCCAAGAGATATATGACCTGTCCCTTCCTGCTTTTACTCTAGCTGTAAACCACTGTATCACAGGACCTGAACACACAATTCCTCACTTGTTTCTGTTTGTGTTTTTCCTCTTTCCCCCTCTCCTTTTTGAAAATATATGAACTGCAAATCTGCAATTAACAGAATAACAGAATTGAAAAGAATCTTGGATGTCTTCCAGTCCAACCCCCAGCTCAAGCAGGAAACTCTGTACCATTTCAGACAAATGCTTATCCAATCTCTTATTAAATACCTCCAGTGTTGGAGCACCGACAACTTCTAGCAGCAAGCCATTCCACTGAATAATTGTACTAAACATCAGAAAAATTCTCTTTGATTGTAGGTTGGTTCTCTCCTTGATTAGTTTCCATCCATTGCTTCTTGTCTTGCTATCAGGTGCTTTGGAAGATAGGTTGACTCCCTCTTCTTTGTGGGAAGCCCTTGGATATTGGAATACTGCTATCATATCACGCCCCTAGTCCTTTTCATTAAACTAGACCTATCAAATTCCTTCAACTGTTCATTATATGTTTTATCCTCCAATCCCCTAATCATCTTTGTTGCTCTTCTGTGCACTTTTTCTAGATTCTCAACTTATTTTTTTATATTGTGGCAATCAAAACTGGATGCAATATACTAAGTGTGATCTTACCAAGGCATTATAAAGTGATATTAACATTTCATGTGATCTTGATTCTTTCCCTCTTAAGGGAGCCTAGGATTGTGATGGCTTTTTTGGTAGCTGAAGCACACTGCTGGCTGATATTTAAGTGATTGTCCACTAGGATTCCCAAAATCCTTCTCACAGTTATTGAGCCATGTACCTACCACCTGTTCTATACTTCTGCACTTGTAAAATCTTCCTTTTCTCTACATTGAATTTCATTCTGTTAGGGTCTAATGCTCATGTCAATCAAGATCCTTCTGTATCTTGAAGCTATCTTCTGTAATATTGGCTAGTCATCTGCAAATCTGATGTGTTCTTCTTCTATCCCCTCGTCTAAATCATTGATGAAGATATTGAAGAGTACTAGGCGTAAGATAGAGCCTTGGAGTACCCCACTGCATACTTCCCCCCATGTAGATGCAGTTCCATTAAGGACTACATGTTGAGTGTGGTTGGTCAGCTAGTTACAAATCTATCTGGTGGTGATACTGTGTAACCAACATTTTTCTATCTTATCAAGTAGTAGTTTGTGGTCTACTTTATCAAATGCCTTACTGGAGTCCAACAAAATTATATCCACAGCATTTTGCTAGTCCACTATTTTTTTCACTTTGTCAAAGAATGCAATAAGAGTTGTCTGGCATGATGAGTTTTTACAAACCCATGTTGGTTTCTGGTTATGATTTTTTTGCCTCAGGTATTTGCAGATTCATTGCTTGATTATCTTTTCCAAAATCTTTCCAGGTATTGATGCCAGGGCTGATAGGTCTGTTTTTTCTTGGCTCTATTTGTTTTCCTTTTCTGAAGATTGGAACTATCCTTTTCCAGTCATCTGGGTAGTTCCCTGATACTCCAGGATCTTTGAAAGATATGCTTCAGTAGTTCTGAGATCCCTTCTGCCAATTTCTTCAGAATTTTGGGGTGTAATCCATCTGGTCTTGGTAATTTGAACTTGTCTAGAGTGGATACCATTTTCTTATTTATGTATTTTGGCTTGCATTGCTGATTTTATCCCTCCAATTGCTTGTGAGGGAGAATGAGAATGGGTGGAGGGGGATGGCAGAGCCCTGACTCTGAGAAGAGGGAAGAGGGATGATATTCTTGGGGAGTGTTGGGCAGGACAATGCATCAGAGTAGGGGTGCTATAGGAGTCTGGGGGCAGTCCAGTCCTCTGATGTATAGTATCGGTGGTGTGTTCTGCCCCCCTAAGCTCATCTTCAGGACCTATGAGGGTAGCCTCATAGGTCCTGAGATTTGGCTGCTGTGGTGAATGCCAGATTGGTCAATAATAAGGCTCTCCTTATCTAAGATCTTATTGAGGAGGAATGAGCTGACTTGGCATGTATTAAGCATTTATTACCAAGACTTGGGTAATTCTGGAAGCGGGGTTCCCTTTCCTGAGATGCTAGAGGCCATCTAGAGCTATCAAGTTTCCCAGACTTATAGTTCTGGGTGTCTTCAATCTGCCATCCCTGCTTATGTTCTCGGAAGTGGCCCAGGAGTTCATGGCAGCCATAGGCCTATCTCAGATCATCTTAGGCCTGACTCAGGACAGTGGTCACATGCCAGATATGGGGCAATGACAACATGATCTAGGATGAATTTAAAATTATCCCACTTGTCATGGTCAGATGTCCTGATGTCCCTGAGATTTCTGTTGCTGCCCCCCTCTGCAGGGAGGTTACACCTATTTGTATGGTCCATCCTTAATGACTGATGGACCCAATTGGGTTTCAGAGGAACTGAGAGATATTCTGCTGCAGGGCCTGTTGAAGCCAGAAACCAACCGGCTGCCAGGGCTCTGGACAGGATTTCTTCTATGCGACCGCTTTTCACTCATCATTCCTGTGCTTCATGGAGGATGTCAAGAGCTTTTCACTGCCTAGAAACTTTTCACCTAGTTTCTTCTCTGCTCTCAAGTTGAAAACAATAGGGAGGGGGGTAGTTGAATCATCTGGGGTGGGAATGGAATGCCAAGAATCCATCTGCAGATCATGAGGCCCTGCTTCCCCCTTCAAGGACACGCTGCACAGGTGTTTGAACGATCCAGACAGTTACCATAACAAATGAAGTGTAGGTGATTGGACAATGCAATGGATTAAGGGGAATGGCCAAAGGGGGAATTCATGCTTAATTATATGGACCTTTGAGCGGGAAATTCAGAGATGGTTTTGCTTCCTTTGTGCCAATGTAGTGTATTCAATAAAAGTATTACTAGTGGGAAGAACAATGTCCCAGGAGTTCCTTTCTCGGATTCACTAGCTGGATATCTGACAGAGGAGTTGTGAGTTTTGAAAAGGGTTAAGAGATGGCTAGAACATTGCTGGAGGATAATGAAGGATGACGCCGACTGACAGAACTTAGAGTCGCTATCAAGGCCTATCTTGTGGCAGTAAGAGTGACAAAACAGCATTATTTCTCCATTCTTATTGTGTCCATATAGTGTCACTCAGTGGCCCTATTCCAGGTCACACGATCCCTCCTGGGATGGGGGGACTATGCAATCTTCTTCACGGCCATGTGGAGAAATTTGTTCAATACTTGATGGACAAAGTTGTTTGGATTCATTCTCAGTTTGAGACCCAGGTGTGAGGCAGGTCCTTATGAGATGCTTGGGGAGGGGTCTTGCCCAATGATCTGGGAACAGTTTTATCCTGTTGATCATGAAGTGGCCAGGACCCTCGATGCTGCCAGTTAGATCCTTGTCCCTCTGGATCATGAAAGCCTCCATTACTATGACTAGCAGGTGGATTCAAACAGTGATTAATATATCATTTCAGGAGGGGACATTTCCAGGATCTTTTAAGGAGGCCCTGGTTTGCCCCCTCCTAAAAAAGCATTGCTTGATCCCACCTGCTGGGACAACTTCTGTTCAGTTTCCAGTCTTCCCTTTTTAGAGAAGATTGTGGAAAAGATAGTGGTCTGGCAGCTTCACATGGTCCTGGATGAACTGGATTATCTGTACCCACTTCTGTTAGGATTCAGGCCCAGTTATAGGATAGCAACAGCATTTATCTCATTTGTTGATGTCCTCTAGCAAGAACAGGATAGGAGTAGTGCAACCATCTCTTAAAGCTAATCTCAACTCATTACCTGTATAAAAGACACCTGGGAGCCAGAAATCTTGCTGATTGATAGGGGATCAAATACTTATTTCGCTCATTAAAATGCAGATCAATTTATAACTTTTTTGAAATGCATTTTTCTGGATTTTTTTGTTATTATTCTGTCTCTCACTGTTAAAATAAACCTACCATTAAAATTATAGACTGATCATTTCTTTGTCAGTGGGCAAACATACAAAATTAGCAAGGGATCAAATAATTTTTCCCTTACTGTAAATATTTCACATTGTCTTCAATATACCCAGATACAAATGTTTTCAACATTGTGATGTCCATAGGCTGGGCATCTGAAGGTTATAGAGAACTGTTTTGACAAATTCCAGACCATCATTAAATGTATGTATATATGTAAAACTTAGAATCTGATTAGGGCCAAATGACTTTTTTTGAAACCCAATAACTGGAAGGTGGCTTCTATTCCAGATTTGGTTCTACACAAATGATATTTTCAGGGGAGCTGGCCTAAGTCCTGAAATGATTCCATATGTTACCTTAAGCACAGGAGCTGTGGAGATCTTGGCTGCTCTTTTCTCTGTAAGTGTGTGGTGGGTTGAATAACGTATAGAAATGTATAAAGAATATATAATTTAGAATGAAATATTTTTCAGTTTCCATCTTAGTTTTAAACTGACAATAACGAAATAAAAGGACTGAATCTTATAAAAATCTTTACTAGAAACCAAGAGCCTCTGAGTTCTGATTCTGTCTTAGGCATGAAAGCCACTTGGGTGACTTTGTACCAGTCACTCTCTCTCAGCGCAACTCACCACACAGGATTGTCACTGTGGGGAAAAATAGGAGGAGGAAAGAGTATTATGTATGTTCACTGCCTTGAGTTATTTGTAAAGTAATAAAGGCAGGATAAAAATCTAATAAAAAATAGAATTAAACACATTAGAATGAATAACAGACATACCGTGTTTCCCTGAAAATAAGACCTGGTCTTTTGGTTTTTTGCCTCCAAAAGAGGCACCAGATCTTATTTTCGGGGGGGGGGGAATCTTTTCCACTCACCTCCGGCACCAACAGCCCTGCCTAGCCGGTCCACATCTTCTGCATCTGAAGGAGCAGCTTCATTCTGCAGCTGAGAATGGAGTTCTGGCTTGCATTTTGCAGTCAAAGGCCTTTCCAGAAGGCCACTGCAGCAGAGAACTGAGCTATGGATTGAATCCATAGCTCAGTTCTCAGCTGCAGTGGGCTTCTGGAAAGGCCTTTGACTGTGAAATGCAGGCCTGGGGATGCCGCAGAAGAAGTGGGCTGGCAAGGAGAGGCCTGGCTGCAAGGTAAGTGAGTGCGGGGTGCATGGGGCAGTTCCACACCCCCACCCCCACCCCCACCCTAGCTTGATTTTTAGGTGTGTGCCTCAACCCCAAACTAGGGTTTATTTTTGGGGTAGGGCTTATATTAGGCCCACCCCCAAAATCAAGCTAGGGCTTATTTTTGGGAAAACATGGTAGTTCACCATCTCAAAGATTTTACTTTTTTGAAAATCTGAGGGGAAAACAGTTAATCAGGTAAGCAACTGAGATTGTGGCTAATGTTTTCTTACAAACGTAGGTGTTCTTTCTTTTGAATAGATCAATATTTATTTAATTTTATGGAGTTGTGAGTGGCATGAAGAAATATAATCCATAAAACAATAATGAAAAAAATAAAATAGATGGAAGTTACTAATGACAACTAATTTATGTTTAAAATATAGAGGGCTAATGTTAAGAGTGTAAGAACTCCTGGCTTTAATTGAAATGAACTACATTTTAATCTCGTCTCTTGTTGAAATGATTGGAATGACTCTTCTAAGAATATTGGGGCTTCCAAGAAAACATGCTTGGGATTACACTTTAACTTTGGGTTAAATAAAACTGTTACCTATCGCAGGGGGCCCCAACCCCTGGTTTACAGACCGGTGGCCCATTGGGAACTGGGCCGTGCCAGCAGCAGGTGAGGAGGTGAAGCTCCATTTGCAGAAGTGGCAGGCACGCATGCAAACCCATCCCCTCCCCCCCCCACTGCCACTGCGGATCCACAGAGCCAGAAAGATTGGGGAACGTTGACCTATACCATTTGAAGGTTTCTTATTCACATCTACCATTCAAAGATATTTTCCTTAAAGACAAACTTTTTTGTTTCTGAGGAAAAACTGAAAAAGCCACGTTTTGCAAACAACTGACTGAACTCTTTGTTTTAAAGCTATTGGGAGAAAGAAATATGCATGAAACTGCCATTTGTAGAATGTCGAGAATGACACTTACTTCTTTGCATGTAGAGAGGTTGCCAGTGACAACTCAAGCCCTTAGTATTCTGATTGGTGAATACCATATCATTGAAATTACTTAAGTGCCTACCTTACAAAATATATTTATGTGTTGCTACTAATATATATACACACACACACACACACACACACACACTACTAATATATATACACACACACACACACACACACACACACAAAATTCGGATTTCTCTCTCCCATATTTGGGCCGACAGGGTGCATCAAAGTAAAAAAGCATTCATATATATATATATATTGTGTGTGTGTATATATATATATATATATTGTAATAATGTAGCTGAAGATGAAATGTGAGGTCTTGAGTATAGGAGCAAAAAGAAATTTTAAAAGGTCATCTATTTTTAGGGTGTAGAAATACAGTAGTTGATATTGGTTCAGGTCTGCTGTTGGTTGCAAACTTGCTGGTTTTAACCACTGCAAGCATGCAAAAGTAGCCAAGATTTAATTAGAATTTTGGTATGATTTAGTACATTTGAATCTGAGCTTTGCTGGGTTGAATTCAAATAATCAGATCAGTTTTATTCACAAATTTGATTCATTATGATGAAGCATGAAAGTGTAAAAGCCCATTAATTTACTGAATAATGTATCCAGTTAGATTTGATGCATCACATTGATTAAGTTGTTCAGACTTAATTCAAAGAAATGTGATCAAATTAATTCTAAATCAAAGCTTTGCACAATCTTACTAGCCATTAATCTCTTCGGTGTCCCACCCACTCTGCAGTAGGCAGTTAGTGATTAACAATGATTAACAATAGAAGTTGGAATATGAAAGTTATACAAAGCCTTTTGAACTCTTATACATTGAATTGGAAATTATCAGAAGCTCAAAGGAAATTCTAATTTTGAACCAAGTGCATAATGAACGTACTTGCTTTAGAGTCAAATTTTGCTAAAGGAGGTATAAAAGTACAGAAAAGGACATTGAAGTAAAAACATAAAGTATCCTGTAAAATTAGACCAAGTTTCTAAACAGTCTGTTTATGCATTGAATTAAGAGCAGTTAAATTTTCAATTTATGTATGGAAATTAATCTGGATTTGCCTTGCAAAAAGCTTAGCACTGTGATTTGAATGAGTTGCCTAAGGATGATTCTGTTCTACTAGGGTCTTAGGGTGAATCCATCCACCAGTTCTGTAAGATAATTAACCATCTATTTTTTTTCAGGGTTTAGTGATTGAAAGAGTTGGACGCAGACCTCTTTTGATTGGGGGATTTGGTTTGATGTTTTTCTTCTTCGTCATACTTACTGTGTGTATGAGTCTACAGGTCCGTAAATGTTAATTGATCTATTTTCTTTTAAATATGTTAAACCATCAAATTTAAACATTCTTTTTAATCATTTTTATATGCAAAAAAATTAGATCTTTTCTGTGCAACTTTGAATTAGAATAATGAACAAATACTAATTTCCTTTTTTCAACTGTATTTAAGAAGCAAGTTCAAACTTTACGTTGAAAATGTTACTGTAGTTTACAGGATTTGTAACAAACTGAGCATAATAATGAAGTGCTCCCCCTGATATCTATCTGCATTATATTTTTTCAATAATTCCTTCCCAGTTTTATTTATAGCAAACTGAAAAACATGGAAATGTTTCAGAAACATTGTGACAAACCGTGATTTTAAACTATGTCTTTACCAATCCTAATTTTCAGTTTTAAATAAAATCTCCTTTTACAAAGATTAAAGCATACTTCTCAGGATAACAGCAATGGAGGTAGTGAAAATTGCTTTGAGGCACAAAAGTTTGCTCTACTTTTCCAAAGATCTGTGACTGCTCTGCATAGCTGTCTGCCCAAGAGCTCTTTGGTCTGGTCGTATAGATCTTGAACATGTGAGGTGCTGTGTTAGTGAGTTGCCTTCTCGCTTGTGAATATTGATTTTTTATATATATTCTTATGAAATTTGAGTGTCAGAGCACTTCCCTAAATCTTGAATAACAAGGGGAAATGTAGAATTAAAACTTTGGGTTCAGCCAAATCCATTTCTGATGGAAATGTCAAGCAACCCAACAGTCTTAGTTCTGGGTAATCAGAGACTATGATTAGGTATGGCCTAGGCTGGTTTTGACAGCTTGGCAGGAGGTGACAGAGCTTGGCTGGCACTGAACTAGAAAGCTGTCCTACCAGACAGCTGTCCTGCCCTCTCTCTTTTTGGATGTCTTCCACTGTAGATGTCTAAGATGTCTCAGCCTGTAGAAAGTGTTTCTGTTTTTGTTCCCTTAATCTGAATAATAAAGCTGGGATTTATTTGCTACCCATGATATATTAATGACTAGAGTTTATTATTCTAAGCAGGTATTAGATGGCATACAGACTTCCAAAGATAGGGTATCAGCAAAGTGGACTTTGTATCACTGCAAATATTGTTGTTGCTCTCTACAAGAAGTCTGGGGATTTCTTCATATTTGATTTGTGATTTTTTTTTAATTGCCCAATAGCTATTCTGGATGGTTTAAAATAAAACATAATAAAAAGATACAATTTGAATAAAACACATACAATAAAACACAAAATAAAGACACTATATAAATTACTGTAAGTTTATATAAAAATAATTCATTTTTAATGTTACCATATATTTTTCAGGATCAAGCAGTCTGGCTTCGATATCTCAGTATAGTCTGCATTCTCACAATCATTGCCTCATTTTGCATCGGACCAGGTAATGCCCCTCTTTTCAAACATGCTCTGACAGAAAGAGTTGTGTTGGTTTTTCTAATATAATTAAATGGCTCATACTATGGCCTGTAGAGTTGGATTAGTGTGGGATAAGGGGTAAAAGAGGAAAAACAAAATATCTGTAATAGTATAAAGTATTATGTCCTTCAGGTAATAGTAGATATATTAGGGCAGATGAGAAAGAAATACTTATTAGGTTACATCTATCTAAGAATTTCACTGCTTTTGAAAATGTCAGCTTGTAATGATCACATAGATCTTCTCTACGATAATTGGTCACCCACTTGGCCCTTCAAATCTTGCAATGGTGTACCCATTGCCCTTGTAATAACATATTATATGATTATAAATCTAAATATATAAATTAAAATCTATTACATTATTTACAGAATACAGAATAACAGAGTTGGTGACATGGTTCCGAAAAGAAGTAGCTTTTCAAAGAACTTTGAGGCTTATTTACCTTAAAGAATCCTTTATTTTGCTACATAGCTTCGGCATGTAAAAATAAAGAAGCCAAAAACTGAAACCTCCCACCCCCAATCACCCGTAACAAAGCATAACTCACTCCTTCATTTTACAGTCATCAATCATATTCTCCAATTAGTGTAAAGTGTGAATTGCCCCCTCCCTATTTCTCCTGTTACAGCTGACCTTGGCTGTGCTGTGCTGAGATATTGTTATGATTAACTGGCATACTTTCCCATCTACTAGGCTAGTATTGTCTGCTTTAACTCTAGAAGTGATATGCAGGCTAAATAAAACATGTTTGCTTCTTCACATATGGCAAGCAAGAACATCCAATGTTAGCAGTCTTGACAGTTGGAAGGGACCTTGGAGTCCAACCCTCTGCCCAAGCAGCAGATCCTATATCCAGACAAATGCTGTCCAGTCTCTTCTTAAAAACCTCTAGTGTTGATGGACCCACAACTTCTGAAGGCAATCGGTTCCACTGATTGATTGTTCTCACTGTCAAGAAATTTCTCCTTAACTCTAGATTGGATCTCTCTTCGTGAAGTTTCCATCCGTTAGTTCTTGTCTTGCTCTCAGGTGCTTTGGAGAATAAATTGTCCCTCTCTTCTTTGTGACAAGTTCTCAAATATTGGAAGATTGCTGTCATGGCATCCCTAGTCATTTTTTTGTTAGACTAGACATACCCAGTTCCTGCAGGTGCCTTGATCATTTCTGCTATTTTCCGTATTCTTTCTAGAGTTACAATGTATTATTTTTATCATGGTGACCAGAACTGGACACTGTATTCCAAGTGTGTCAGGCTGATTGGGCTCTAGTTTCCTGGATCCATTTTTTCCCTTTTTTGAAATGGGAACCACATCAACTCTTTCCTAGTCCCCTGGTAGTTCCTAGGACTCCAGGTTCTTTGAAAGATTTAGTGGTTTAGTGGTTCTGAAATCACAACTGCCAGCAACTTCAGAAATGAGGGATGTAATCCATTTGGTACTGGTGATTTGAATTCTTCTAAGGTGGACAGGTGTTGTCCTTTGGATCAGGGTGTTTCAGGACTGGCTCTGCAGTGAACAGGCACTTCAACTTTTCAAAAGCTGTCTGGCAATCAAGGGACCAATCCAGGGGCTGCCTAGGCTTTGGTTTTGCCCCTCCCTATGTCTTTGGCAAATTGGTGATTGGTAGGACTATCTGGGCAAAAGTGGGGATTAATTGGTGGTAAAAGTTTGTGAAGCCCAGGAAACTCTGTAGTTGCCTCCTGGTCTGAGGGAACTCCCATTCCAGTATTGCCTTCACCTTACTAGGATCCATCTCCACTCCCTCACTGAAGATCTAATATCCCAGGTAGTCTAAGCAGGTGTTCTATCCCAGCCTATATCCGTCCTTGTTAAAGGCACAAGGTGGTTTGGGGACAACTCTTTTATCCGACCTCTGAGTTTTGTTTTGTTTAGGGAAAATTATACCCACTGTTTGGACGGTTTATCAGGTCTTTGTTTTCGTCGTTTTGTGTTAGGTTTACCTCCTTTAACAGGCGTGTTTTGTGCTACGTTTGTCTTTTCATCAGTGGTCGTTATGATTGTCTTGTACTAGGGTACTAGTACTTTGCAACAGTTGCCTTCAGCAACCAGCACCGCCCACACCTTCCCTTTTTATACAGCAGTCCCAAGGTGTTGCCTCTCAGTACCTTCTCCTCCTTCCCTGGAGTTGTCGTATTGACTGCTGCTGATCTGCTCTCACTAATTGCCGGCGTGTACGAGCATCAATCAATCTGTCTATCAGATGTGAGTCCTCCAAGTCTGACTCATTCTCCCCACACAGCTGAGCTTCATCAGGAACACGACTGGAGGGCCCAGGCTCTTCATCAAACCGTGAGTCTTGTAATTCATCAGAGCCTCCCTCTGACCCTGATGGCCCTTCAAATGCCTCCTCCACCTCCTCCTCAGATTCCCCAGACTCAGCTATTGGGAACACAGGCTGGCATGGAATCATGACACTATCCCGCACTGCAGGGCCCTTCCCCCGGGTCTGCTGATCCGGATGTGGTCGGGATGGGAATTGATCATGAAAGGCGGTCACCAAGGCAGGAGCATGAATGGTGGTCACATCCTCCCAGGTGAACTCCTCTGGTCCGTAGCCTTTCCATTCAATCAGGTACTGGAAGCGACCTTTCACCCAATGGGAGTCCCGAATGCTGGCAACCTCGTACTTGGGAGCACTGTCTCCATCACGTTGTTCTGGTGGGGGAGGTTCGGCTCGGCGAAGTGGACACGCCGGTTGCTCAGGGACCAACAGAGAACGGTGAAAGACCGGATGTACCCGCAGGGAACGTGGCAGAGTTAAGCGATAGGTGACCGGATTGATGACAGCCTTGATTGGGAACGGTCCTACATATCGGTGGTCTAATTTCTTGGCTGGCCGGGTTGACGGTAGGTTCCTGGTGGACAGCCATACCCGATCTCCCACCGTTAGTGGAGGCGTATCCCGCCTCGACCGATCAGCAAACCTTTTGTAGTCAGCCTTGGCCTTCTCTAACTGTCGCTGCACCAATCGATGGATCGCCTGTAACTCTGCCATGTAGTCGTTCACTGTTGGTACCGGTGAGTCTAGTGGGGAAAGAGGGAAAAACCGAGGGTGATATCCCACATTGGCTAAGACTGGTGTCATCTGCGTGGAGGTGTGCTGTGAGTTATTGAATGCAAACTCAGCCACCGCCAGATAGTCCACCCAATTGTTCTGCTGCTGATTGACATAGCAATGCAGGTATTGCTCGAGGATCCCGATGACCTTCTCGGTCCCTCCGTCAGTTTGGGGATGATGTGCGGACGAGAGGCAGATCTTGACATCCAACGCCTGCATCAACCCCTGCCAGAAACGGGCTGTGAACTGGACCCCTCTATCAGACATGACCCTATCAGGAAGGCCATGAAGTCGGAACACCTGCTGGATGAACATGCGACCGGTGGCGCGGGCAGATGGCAAGCCACGACATGGGATGAAATGCGCCATCTTGGTCAGCATGTCCACCACCACGAACACCATCGTGAATCCAGAAGACAGGGGTAAGTCCGTCAGGAAGTCCATGGACACAGCCCCCCAGGGTCTTTGGGGTGTCGGCAAGGGCTGCAGTAGTCCGGGTGGGGTCCCTGTCGCTGACTTGGCCTGCCTACATGGGATACAGGATGAGACGTAGGCCTGGACATCGTGTTAGACTCGGGGCCACCAGATGGTACGGGAGACCAAGTTCAGAGTCTTGAACAGGCCAAAATTCCCCGCTGCCAGATTGTCGTGACACTGGCTGAGGATGAGTCCCCTGAGCAGCCCTCCAGGAACATAGAGCCGATCACGATAGTGGAGGAGTCCATCCGTGACTGTCCATGGGGAATTGGGCCCCACCTCCTCCTTTCGCTGAGCCACCCACCCATCCTGCTGCTGGGCCTCCCGAATCCAAGCACGTACATCTATCGGCTCCCGCACTGCAGCAAAAGACTCGATAGGGAGCACTGTCCTGGGCAGAAGCTTGTCTTCTGCTCGGGAATATTCGGGCTTCCTGGACAGAGCATCCGCTGTTTGGTTGTGACCGCTGGTTATGTACATCACACGGAAATTGAACCTCGCAAAGAAGAGAGACCACCGGATCTGGTGTTGGTTCAATTTCCGAGCGGTCTGCTCGATAGTCATCTGGTAGAACTGGCACTTCTCCAGTTTGGCATACAGCCGATGTTCTCGGAGCCGCTGCAGGACTTGACGGAGATGCTGATGGTGCACCTCTCGCGACAGGGAGTAGATCAGGATGTCGTCCAAGTAAATCACGACAAACTGATCTAACAAGTCCCGGAAAATGTCATTCATAAAATGCTGAAACATGGCGGGGGCATTGGTCAGGCCAAATGGCATCACCGTGTACTCGAAGTGCCCATACCGAGTACCAAACGCCGTCTTCCACTCATCACCCAACCGAACTCTGACAAGGTTATAAGCTCCACGCAAGTCCAGTTTTGTGAAGATCTTTGCCTCACGGAGCCGGTCCAAGAGTTCGGGGATGAGGGGCAGCGGGTATCGGTTGCGCACCGTGATGGCATTTAATTTTCTATAAAGCCGCAATTCACCGGACTTCTTCTTGACAAAGAGCATGGGTGCAGATACTGGCGAGGACAAGGGCTGAATAAAACCCCGAGCCAAATTCTTGTCTAAAAAGTCCTGCAATGCGGCCAACTCGGGGTCTGACATGGAATACAAACGCCCCACTGGTAGAGGCGCGTCAGGGACTAAGTCAATGGGGCAGTCATAGGGCCTGTGCAGGGGCAATTGATCCGCCTCAGTCTCGCTTAAAACATCAGCATAATCCACCAATTCAGAGGGTAAGGAGACCCCCATGGGCCCCTCTACCTGACCAGCACAGATGTGGCAGGTGTGGTCCACGCACTGTAAGCTTGGAAAGGTGACCAAGTTCTGTGACCAATAAATCTATGGGTCATGCGCCTGGAGCCACGCCAGTCCCAAGACCACGGGGAAATGCAGGTCTGATGTGATATAGAACTGGATGGCCTCCTCATGTGAACTGATGGCCATACATAGCGGTTGCGTGGAGGCCTTAATTGGCCCAGACAGGAGCACTCGACCATCAATGGTCTCCACTAACATCGGTGGATCCACCGGGCATTGGGGAATCACCCATTTAGCCACAAATGCTGCGTCCATAAAGTTCGTAGTGGCCCCAGAGTCAATCAACGCATGGACGGGAATCTCCTTGGGCAACCTAGGGAGAATCAGGCACGCCTCCAATATCAGATGCCTTGGGGGTCCGTGGGCAGCATCTGAAGGGTGTCACTCAGTGTTGTGGGATGCCCGACCCAAAATGCCTTTCAGGTCGGGCATGGGCCATTTCCCAACAGGGGAGCAGATGGCAGTCTCGGGACAGGCTCAGTCACAGATGCCCCTCGTCGCTTCTTGGGGCAGAAAGCGGCCAAATGCCCAGGGTCCCCACAGTAAAAACACAACCCCCCCAAACATCACCTGTTCATCTCTGCCACTGATAGGCGAGGTCTGGCAGCACCTAACTCCATTGGCTCCTCCCTCTGGACCGGGGTCTCATGCACAACGGGGGCAGTACAGGTCACTGGGGTGGCACGGCGACTTCTTCGCTGCTGCAGCCGAGCGTCGATCCGCAGACAGAGATGAATGAGCCCATTAAGGTCCGGAGGAACATCAACATGGGCCAGCTCATCCAACATCTCCTCTGACAATCCATCCTGGAAAGCGTCCACGAGCGCAGCCTCATTCCAGGCTGAATCCTAGCTAAGCAGCCAAAATTCGCTGATATAGCCCTGCAGGGGGTGTTGGCCCTACCTCAGAGCTTTCAAATGCTGGGTAGCTGTCTGGGTCTTGATGGGGTCCTCATACATCATCCGCATGTAATCACAAAACCCCACAAAGTTGTCCATCAATGGACTAGGTTGGGCTAGCAGGGGTGTGCCCCAACGAGCTGCAGAACCAGAGAGCAGGCTTATCATAAACCCCACTTTATCCCGGTCAGTGGGGAAATCAGCCGCTCTCACACTGATATATAGGTGGCACTGTCCCATGAAAACAGGAAACATGTCCGGATTACCATCAAATTTGTCCAGCCTCGCCACTTGGCATTTTCTCCTGGGTGGTGATGGAGCAGCAGAAACATGGGCAGATAGCTGAGCAACTTGGACAGATAACAAAGCCAGCTGCTGGGAGAGCTGGGCATTCTCAGCACGTAGCTGCTCCATAATAGTAGGGGGTTAGGCTGAAGGCAAACTGTTCTATCCCAGCCTATAGCCATCCTTGTTAAAGGCATAAGGTGGTTTGGGGACAACTCTTTTATCCGACCTCTGAGTTTTGTTTTGTTTAGGGAAAATTATACCCACTGTTTGGACGGTTTATCAGGTCTTTGTTTTCGTCGTTTTGTGTTAGGTTTACCTCCTTTAACAGGCGTGTTTTGTGCTACGTTTGTCTTTTCATCAGTGGTCGTTATGATTGTCTTGTACTAGGGTACTAGTATTTTGCAACGGTTGCCTTCAGCAACCAGCACCGCCCACACCTTCCCTTTTTATACAGCAGTCCCAAGGCGTTGTCTCTCAGTGCCTTCTCCTCCTTCCCTGGAGTTGTCGTATTGACTGCTGCTGATCTGCTCTCGCTAATTGCCGGTGTGTACGAGCATCAATCAATCTGTCCATCAGGTGTGAGTCCTCCAAGTCTGATTCATTCTCCCCATACAGCTGAGCTTCATCAGGAACACGACTGGAGGGCCCAGGCTCTTCATCAAACCGTGAGTCTTGTAATTCATCAGAGCCTCCCTCTGACCCTGATGGCCCTTCAAATGCCTCCTCCACCTCCTCCTCAGATTCCCCAGACTCAGCTGTTGGGAACACAGGCTGGCATGGAATCACGACAGCAGGTCTTGTGAAACTCATAGTTAGTTAGCTTCATGTAGAGTTGGGCTTCCTGCAGTTTCCTGAGTACAACTCTGACTAGCTTCACGTGTTCTTCAGGGATCTCAGTGTATATCAATATATCATTCAAGTACACCAAGACTCCTTGTATAGGTGCTTGTGCAGGACCTCATTTATCAATTGAATGAATATGGCAGGAGCCCCTTACTGCCCGAATGACATCACTTGGAACTGATAGCAGCTTAACAATTAAACACTGTTTTCCACTCGTCCCCTTCCTTAATCCTTACTTGGTAATACACCTCCTTCAAGTCCAGCTTCGTGAAGATTTTCCCATTTGCCAAATAGCTTAGCATGTTCCTCATAAGGGGGAGAGGGTACAGTACATGTTTTCCACACATATGCAATTCAGCCCCTTATAGTCGATGCACAGTCTAAGGGACCCGTCCTTTTCTTTGAAAAGCATCGGGGCTGCCATTCTCAATTTCACTGGCTGGGTTTTTGTCTATGAATGCCTGGAGCTCATCCATCTCTCTAGGGGTCATAGAATACATTTTCGGCTTAGGCAGTTTGGCTCCTCCCTAATCGGTGGGTCGGTGAGGTGGGAGCACATCTGATTCCTTTTTGCTAAAAACTCTCAGCTAGGTCACAATATTCTGCTGGAATTAGCGGCTCTAACCCACCATCTCCTCTTAATGTATTTGTGGCTTTCACTTCTACTTTTCTAGCTGCAGGCACATGAGAGGCTCCTTGCACTTTCCCTGGCTCTTGCTGATTAATGGCTCTTCTTTGCATCCACCACCTTTCTCTATCCCAGCTCACAGGGCGGTTCCATTTTTTCCACCATGCTAGTCCTAGCATGGGCTCAGTCACCCTGGGGACTACAGTAAACGTAACAGTCTCTACTTGAATCCCCACTTTGAGCCGAACCAGCTCGGTTAGGCAGGTGGCTGGCTTGCCTCCTGTTATTGACCTGTCTAGTTGGGAAATGCTATGGGTCGCCTCAGTTTTCTTAGCCTCAGTCCTTGCCTTTCCATCACCTGGATGCTGACCATGCACTGGGTGCAACTGAGTCAAGAAACACCATGATGGCCTCCCTTGCCCCCGAGGAGAGCACCACAATCTCCACTTGAGCTGTCATGGGGATGATGATGCCACTTACCAATTGGATCGTCTTCCCCCTCACTGTCATTCTCATAGAAGACTATACCCTTTCAGTAGTTGGTTGGAGTTCCCTCCTCCTTGCTAGACTGAGGAGAGAACTCAACCACTTGCTGCCACATGCATGTCTTCTCCTTCGGCTTTGCTGGGGGTCTCTTTTTCTTGGGTTGGCTAGTGGGCATAGGAGTGGTTGTTGGTCATGATGTGAGGCACTTGGCTGCTCAATGGCAGGCTTCTGGGGCTTGGCGAGGGTTGCCTCCACTGCCAAGGGTGTGCCCCCCCTTCCCACCCCAGGGCCTGGGCATCTCTCAGGCATCTCTCAGGCTTTCCTGCATGGTGTGCTCTTGGAACTCCATCAGGTTGATCTCCACTTCACTGGCCACTTGGAACCACACTTGCAAGTTCCTCAGCACTCCTCAGGATATGCAGTTCTGGTATAGCTCTCAATCTAGTCTCCCTTGGAAGTAGGAGACCAGCATGCACTTGGGCCAGTCAGGAAGGTGGCTGGCTAGGCTGCAGAAGTCCTGGATGTACTCTGCCACCAGCTGCTTTCCCCGCTTAAGGCTGCGGATGTGGGATTCAGCACCCCAGGCTACCATGGGATCCTCAAACTGCCCCCCCCAGGATCTGCATGAACACACCTAGATTGATCAGCTCCCATGCTCCAGCATTGTACAGGGACACCAGCCATCCAGCAATGCCACCCTCCAGGTTGGGCGCCACTGCATGAACCTGGGCTGCATCGTCTGGGTACATTCCTCCATAGCACTCCATCTGGGCTAAGAGGTGAGCCAGCTTGCTCAAGACCCCATCAAACTACACCATGGGCGATGGTCACTCAACTCTGACCACAATGTACCCAGGCAGTAGGACCACTGGATCCTATCTGCTAGTGAAGAGATAATTCTGCTGGCCAAAGGTGAAAAAGGACATAGAAGCTTATGTGGCCAGCTGCCCTGTGTGCGCTTCAATGAAATGAATGCCTGGGAAGCCCCCCCCCCCCAGGTTACTGTAGCTGGTAGTCAACCCAATGAACCCCTGGGTGGACTTTATTGTGGATTTGCCAGAGAGCACAGGTAATGTAATTTGGACCATTACAGACATATTCTCCAAGCAGGCACATTTTGTGGTGTGCCCAAAGATTCCCTCCACCCAATAATAGACCAGAATTAAAACAGTGATGCTTATACTAATAATTTGTAGACAAGTACATACTCAAAAGACCAGGAAGATAAAACACTTTCAAATTAGGGATTTTAAGAGAATTGGTCAGTTTGTCCTGTATCAAATTAAAATTGACTCCTTCCTTCAGGCAAAAAGTTGTGTATTTGGAGCATATGAACAGAAGATGGACTAAAAAAAATCATTAAATTTGTCAAATTGAGGGAAGTAAAAAGAGAAGACAATGGATAAGATTAGTATGATGTCATTGGAAGAACAATTGGGATTATTAAAATCAAGTCAGGATGCCAAGTATTCGTTCTCATAGCAGGACATGCCATTTACAAGGAATCAAACCTATTAGCTCTTGTTTGCATTTATCATTCTTTTTTAATGGAATATGGTAAAATAAAATTAATTTCAGTATATAATGATTAACAATAATGATTACCATGTCTGCAGATTATGTATTTTATAACATTCTCATCTGTTTCTAACCAATATCAAATATGTTTAATCAGATTTAATCTTATTTACAAGAGGATGAAAGGCCTCATGGTAACCCATTGCTGAGTAAACGTTAGCAATAGGTTCCTGGCCTGAATAGGTTCCTCAGGCCTGTTTTTCTTATTAGCAATAGGTTTATGAAATACCTATTTTTTATCTCTTCCTTGCAGGTGGAATTCCATTTATCCTCACCGCAGAGTTCTTTCCACAGTCTCAAAGACCAGCAGCATATATGATTGCTGGAATAACCAACTGGCTCTGCAATTTCATAGTTGGACTCCTTTTCCCTTTCATTCAGGTATGGGCTCCAAATTACAGAAGGCACTAGAACATTTTAAAAAGGGCAAAATATGATTTGAAGTGAAATCTGTACTTAACTCTCTTGATCTAGTTATAGTGGCTTTTTCAGTTCGTTTTAAAACATCTGATTTAACCCAAAGGTGCTTTTTTAAGAGGCAACTGGACTTTCTTGATGTTCTTTGAAGATGTGTTGCTTCTCATTGAAGAAGCTTCTTCAGTTCTGACTGGATGGTGGGGAATGGAAGGATTTATATTCCTTGCAGACAGCTGGTTATTTGCATTCTTTTAGAGAGTCATTGAGGCCACTTGGAGGTTTATCTGTGTCCTCAAGGTCACCTGAATGGTGCAAATGGGTGTGGAGCCTTCTTGGAACTGCTGAAAGGACTGTGTTGTAGACTGGAGATAGAGGATGTCATATCTCTCCCCCTCTACTGTTCAATTTTGACATAGATGGCCTCTTTGACCCTTCTTTCAAACCAGCAGTCGTCTCTGTCCAAAATGTGGACTTTGTCTTTTAAATGCAGATGGACTGCTGAATCTTGTCCTGATGGGTTTGTTCTATATTGTGTCATGTGTTTATGAAGTGTTGTTTTGCTTCCCCAATGTACAAATCTGTACATGTCTCACTGCATTGTACTGCATATATCACATTGCTAAGTTTGTGTCTGGGTGTTTTTTCCTCGGGGTGGACAAGCTTAGAGTCCTTTCAGCAGTCATTTGCACCTGAGTGGTGCTTAGAGTAGAATAGAGCTGGAAGAGACTCTGGAGGTCTTCTAGTCCAGCACCCTGCTTAAGCAGGAGAACCTACACCATCTCGGACAGATTATTATCTAGTCTTTTCTTAAAAATCTCCAGTGATGGGGCACCCACAATTTCTGGGGGTAAGCTGTCCCACTGGTTGATTCTCCTCACTGTCATGAAGTTTCTCCTTAATTCCAGGTTGCTTCTCTCCTTGATCAGTTTCCAACCATTGTTTCTTGTCCTTCCCTCTGGTGCTCTGGTGAACAACCTGACCCCTTCTGCCTGTGGCAGCCCCTCAGATACTGGAATATTGCTATCATGTCTCCCCCATTTCTTCTTTTCTTTAGACTAGCCCACGGGTCGGCAAACCGCGGCTCCGGAGCCGCATGTGGCTCTTTCAGCCGTCTCCTGAGGCTCCCTGTCCTCAGCCACCATGTGCAGTCTGAAAAAAAAAAGTGGGACTAAAAAAGTTCAACCAGTCAATTCAAACTTTGTGAGAAGTTTGAATTGATTGGTTGAACTTCTTGGTTTGTGAGACTGCCCACAAACCTCTTTCCTTCTTCGGACTGCACATGGTGGCAGCGGAGGAAGAGCCAGGAGGATTGCTGGAAAGGTGGCAGAACCTGGGTAAGGAGCCGCGGGTGGCCACTCTCGGGATGCCTCTTCCCTGCCCGGCGGGTCTCTCCTCGCCTTGCTCCGCAGATCTCCATGGCCTCTTTTGAGAGATTCCCCCCCTCTTTTGAGAGATTCCCCCACGGCGCCTGCCGGTCCTTTCCCCACCTGCTGCGCGGCGCCCCTTGGCCGTCCTCCCGCTGTCGCCACTGCCGCCTCTGCCAGTCATGCTGGGTGAGGCTGGAGGCTCTCCGCCGCCCGGCTCCACCTCGGCCCCATTGGTGGTGCCTTCCTTGGCCTCTTTCGAGGAGCTGCCACTGCCCTTCGCCATCCTCCCATCGCAGCCACTGCCGGTTGCGCTAAGCAAGGCCGGAGAGGTGGTGGCAACCAGACAGCTGTGCCCCTTCGCCATCCTCCCACTGCCGCCACTGCCGTGGGGCTCTCCACCAATCGGCCCCACCTCTGCCCCATCAGTGGTGCCTTCCTCAGCCGCTTTCGGGGAGCCGCCGCCACCCTTCACCATCCTCCCACCACCGCCACTGCCGGTTGCGCTGAGCGAGGCTGGAGAGGTGGCGGCAACCAGGCAGCTGCGCCCCTTTGCCGTCCTCCCACTGCTGCCGCTGCCGCGGGGCTCTCCACCACCTCGGCCCCATCAGTGGTGCCTTCCTCGGCCGCTTTTGGGGAGACGCTGCCGCCCTTTGCCATCCTCCCACCACCACCGCCGCTGCTGCCAGTCGCGCTGAACAAGGGCGGAGAGGTGGCGGCAACTGGGCAGCCGTGCCTCTTCACCATCCTCCTGCTGCCGCTGCCACAGGGCTCTCCACCGCCCGGCCCCACATCGGCCCCATCGGTGGCACCTTCCTCGGCTGCTTTCGGGGAGCCACTGCCACCCTTCACCATCCTCCCACCACCGCCACTGCCGGTTGCGCTGAGCGAGGCCGGAGAGGTGNCGGAGAGGTGGCGGCAACCAGGCAGCTGCGCCCCTTTGCTGTCCTCCCACTGCTGCCGCTGCCGTGGGGCTCTCCACCACCTCGGCCCCATCAGTGGTGCCTTCCTCGGCCGCTTTTGGGGAGACGCCGCCGCCCTTTGCCATCCTCCCACCACCACCGCCGCTGCTGCCAGTCGCACTGAGCGAGGCCGGAGAGGTGGTGGCAACCGGACAGCCGCGCCTCTTCGCCGTCCTCCCACTACCGCTGTTGCCACGGGGCTCTCCACCACCCAGCCCCACCTCGGCTACATCGGTAGCGCCTTCCTCAGTCGCTTTCGGGGAGCCGCCGCCGCCACCACCCTCAGTGCTGCAAGAGAAGGAGACCTTGGGCTGTGAGGCCGGCGGCGGGTCAGGACCCCCTCATTCCCGCAGCGGCACTCCTCTTGTGATGGCGAAATGGCCAAGGATGCGGTGGGGGCAGCAACCGGGCCGGCGGCGGTGGGGACCCCCGACAATGCTGCAGTGGCCACCGCCATGCCGCCACCGGAGCCGCTGCCTCCCGTCCTGCTCCCCCTCCCCGCCCCTTCGGCACCGTCTGCCTTTCATTCTCTCTCTCTCTCCTCACCTGGAGAGAGAGAGAGAGAGAGAGAGAGAGGGAGAGAGGAAAGAGAGAGAGGAAAGAGAAAGAGAGAGAGAGGAAAAAAAGAGAGGAAAGAGAGAGAAAGAGAGGAAACGGAGAGAGAGGAAAGAGAAAGAGAGAGGAAAGAGAGAGAGAGAAAGAAAGGGAGAGAAAGAGGGAGAGGAAAAAGAGAAAGAGAGAGGGAGAGGAAAGAGAAAAAGAGAGAAAGAAAGAGAGAGAGGGAGAGGAAAGAGAGTGAGAGAGAGGAAAGAGAGAAAGAGAGAGTGAGAGGAAGAGGAAAGAGAAAAAGACAGGAAAGAGAGAAAGAGAGAGGGAGAGGAAAGAGGGAGAAAGGAAAGAGAGGAAAGAAAGAGGAAAGAGAAAGAGGGAGAGGGGGAGAGGAGAGAGAAAGAGAGAAGGGGAGAGGAAAGAGAAAAAGAGGAAAGAGAGAGAGAAAGAGGGAGAGAGGAAAGAAAGAGAAAGAGGGAGAGGAAGAGGAAAGAGACAAAAAGAGAGAGGAAAGAGAGAGAGACAGACAGAGAGAGAGAGAGACCCTTTTGACATCTAAAATGAAGATAACACTGCACATATCCTATTTTACCTTTATTTTATATATACAGTGCTTTTTTTGAAAAAAAAAATGTGCCAAAACTCACACACGTCATACAATCCGCCTTGCCTACCCTACAAGGTTCCATCCAAAAAAGGTGCCAGAACTCTGTTCTGGGCGTTTTATGACAAAAAAAGCCCTGTATACACACACACACACACAATAAAGGTAAAAAAGGATATATGCAGTGTTACCTTCATTTTAGATATCAAAAGGGTTTTGCGGCTCCCAGCGTTTTGTTTTCATTGGAAAACGGGTCCAAATGGCTCTTTGAGTGTTTTGGGTTGCCTACCCCTGGACTAGCCAAACCTAAGTCCTACAGCCGTTCTTTGTATGTTTTAGCCTCCAGACCTTTGATCATCTTAGTTGCTTTTCTCTGATTTTTTTCCAAACTCTCAACATCTTTTTTGTGATATGGTGACCAAAATTGGCTGCAGTATTCCAGGTGTGGTCTTACTAGGGCTTTGTAAAGCGGTACTAGTACTTCACGTGATCTTGATTCTATGCCTCTGTTTATACAACCCAGGATTGTATTAGTTTTTTTGGTTGCGCTGCACACTGCTGGCTCATAGTCAAGTGATCGTCCACTAGGACTACAAGGTCCCTCTCACAGTTACTGTTTTTAAGCCAGGTCTCACCCAATCTGTATTCATGCCTTTGATTTTTCCTGCCTAAGTGTAAGACTTTGCTTTTCTCCACATTGAAACTCATTTTGTTGGATAGGGCCCATTGTTCGAGTTTGTCAAGATCTTTTTGGATCCTGAGTTTGTCTTCTGGGGTGTTGGCTACTCCTGTCAGTTTGGTGTCATCTGCAAATTTGATGAGTTCCCCTTCAATTCCCTCATCTGTCATTCAATTCCTTCAACTAAGTCATTAATGAAGACATTGTAGAGTATTGGGCCTAAGACGGAACTTGTGGTACCCCACTGCTTACTGGTGCAAATGAGTGTGGAGCCTTCTTGGAACTGCTGAAAGGTTTGGCCTGTAAAAATCTCACTCTTGGGAAAGGGAAGGGGCAACTGACAGGCCTGCCCTCAAATCTGACCATTATTGCTTGCCCCTTTTTCTTTCTCAGCATGCCTTCCAAACCTATTTTTCTAAAATGTAATCTTAAAAAATGTTTAATCTATATTATCCTTTCCATTGTTATTTAATTATTATTGCTAGTTCTGGACAAATACCCTATTTTGGGGTTACTTGACTTTCTGGTTTTTATCATAATATGTATATAGAATTATAGCAGCCGAGCCTTTGGGATGAAAGATTGGAAACTGTAAACTTCTCTATTTCCAGTCCACGGGGGGGGGGTTGCCTTTATCTGACATTTTTCCTGCTTAAACCTGGCTTATGAGGGGGGCCCCAATCCCTGGTCTGTGGACCAGTACTGGGCCGCAGCATGCCAGCAACTGGCCTGCACAAACAAGTAAAGCCCCACCCATGAGATGTAGGCAGCACACGAAACCATGCACCCTCCGGTCCATGGAAAAACCTCTCCACGGAATTGATCCCTGGTGTCCAAAAGGTAGGGGACCTCTGCTCTATCCTGTGTGTCTTACTGCCAAATAAAAGAAAAAATGATAAAAAAGAAATAAATTTCATAGTACCACCTTTTGGCCTTATAGTATTGAAATTTGTGGCTAGAGAAATTGATCCCCCCTCGAGATAGACCAATCTCATAAGAGATAAATAGGATAAAATATAATTTTAAAATATTTAAATATTTTTATTTAAAAAATAATGTATTTATTTATTTTTTATATAAAAAAGAATAGCTTTAAGTTATTACATGCAAACTATCGTGGGCCAGGGATATAAAAATAAAAACATAGGGCAATTTAAATAAAATAATAATAGAAGAATTAATTGAAAAATACACAGGAAAAGACAAGGTTCTGAACAGAGATAGAGCATGTTGATCTGTTCCTATTTTTGAGGCAACTTAATAAAGAAGTACTAATTTGCAAAACAAAAAACACACAAGGGCTGAACCTCCTTTTAAAAACATCCAAAAATGAGAAACCACAAACTCCCTTGGTAACTTATACAGGCTCTTACCTTTAGGAAATTTTTCCTTATATTTAAATAAAGCTTAGGTAACTAGAACTTGTACCCCTTTATTTTTCACCCTAATTTTTGTTACCATGAAAAATAGTTCTGATCCTACATAATTTTCTATGTAATTAAATAGCACAGTTTTAACAGAATATCATGAGAGGTAATGGTTAAGAATATGTGGGGATAGTCCAAAATAGCTGGATGGTTTTTTTACATGTTTTTGTTGTTTGTAAGCCAGAGAGATCAAAATATGGTGTTAGGCTTCAAAGGATATTATGAAATGCTGTTAATAGAAAGCACGTGTTAGTCAAAGAAAGATGTTCTTTCTCTTACATTTGTAGATTGAGACTGGCTTGATATCTGTGATAGGGATCCTGATAATCCAGGTTTCATTTTGCTTTGTGTTTTCAGGAAAGATTACAAACATACTGTTTCCTGGTTTTTGCTGCCATCTGTCTTGCTGGAGCCATTTTCCTTTTTTGTGTGTTACCCGAAACAAAAACAAAAACACTTGCTGAAATTAACCAAGCATTTGCGAAGAAGAAAATGCCTCTGGAAATCCAGGAAATGGGTTATTTTGACCCTAAGGGAAAATCAAGTGAAGTAGAAGAATCCAATTTTTGTCATTCACTGGAAAATGAAAAAAACAAAAATGAAATGGCCTAAATTCAATTTTTACATGGTTGTTTGTTGTTTTGTTTTTTTTTTGTTTTTTGCATTTTAACAAAGCTATTTATTGATTTCCTTGTGTTTGGAGAGAAATTGTAACTAGAGTTGATAAAGAGTCAAAAAAATGAGGAACTGGATTATTTGAGCAAGATCATTGATTCATTTAACTATGCAAATTCACATCTGAGCATTGATTGAGGCATGTAGTGTCATGTTAAACAGCTAGCATTTCCAATGAAACTTGCTTGATTAATTGTGGGAGTGCAGTGACATTTATTGCTAGATTGGGTTCATGGCAGCTATCTCTCTTAATGCATGATTCACTTCCTCGAGCATATGGTTTGCAAATTTTAAAACCTATTTTTTATTTAAAATTTTAATTAAAATTCAGATTTTTTTATAGTGAAGATTGGATTTATGGAGTTTTGCAGATAGCTTCTTAGACTCATGGCAATTCTATCTATGAGGACATATTTAAATCTCAGATCTTAAGTATCTTTTGCTTTTTAAATAAAATCAGGGCTTTAGGTTTTTGTGGTCCATTTTTATTTTACATCTCTGAGTGGCAGTTACTTTGTAAATAAAATTTAGTAAATGTGTATTTGAACATAGTAGCTCAAGCAATATTATCTAGTGCTTACAGTATCTTTACCCCAAGTCAGCCCAATGATAAAAACATACCTTGCTTTGTGGTTCATCTTTATCAGGTTGTAAATATAGTTTTAGTTGAATACATTGTTAAAATAAAAATGTAACAAAGTTGATGCTCAAGAATATTGGTAAAGTATTTAAGTACTTTGCTCATTGCTATTTTGAATGCAAATTGTGCTCCCTGCCGTAAATACCACTATCTCCCAAATATTGTTTTTTTAAACTTGCGCATATCTATTTTATTTTATTAGTTTTAGAGGCCATGTAACTCTCAGACAATTCTGGGCAGCTCACATTTTAATAGTGAGAAACAGTAAAATGAAGAGAAAAGCAATGACTGTGTGGGAAGTCAAAGCCCCAGAGAAGGAAATATTAAAAAAGGAAAAAATATTTTTCACCAAAAGGATTTTTAAAAGCATTTTTTGAAAAGCAGAAACCAAACCTTGCCTCATCTCTTTGCCCAAACCAGTAGCTAGGCCTATACAAATGCAGATGTAGAAAAGGATTATAGAAAAATACTAGAGAACACAAAATTAGGAATACTATACACAACATTAGCACAAAACAAGAAAGGAGGAATTGCTATATACGTCAAAGAAAAAATAAAATCAAAATTAATATACTCAGATGAAGAGGGGAGAATTTTAATGTTGGAAATAGAATTAGAGCAAAAACAAATCTTATTAACAGTAGTATATGCACCAAACAATAATCAACATGAATTTTTTAAAAAGGTACATAAGAAACTAGTTGAGTTGGA